GCGACAAAAAACCAACCTTTTAGGGGGTTTTGCACCGGGGAAGGTTTTTTTTTTTTTTTTTTTTTTTTTTTTTTTTTTTTTTTTTTTTTTTTTTTTTTTTGTCCCCGGAGTCTGGCCCCGTCGCGGGGCAGGACAACAAAACCAGGCCAACGACGGGTGAGAAAAGAGCGACCATACGATGTGGATCTGGTACCTTCTGCTGGGTTCGGGGTCAGGCTCGAGAACTGCTGGTAAGTTTTGTTTAAGCGCTCAGAGGAGCCGAGGTCGTTGTCACGGCGCAGACACGCATCAGTGCGGGTGGGAAGAGGACAAATCTGCTCCAGGGAGCTGCTGCTTTTGTCTTCTGACAAGTTGGCTTCAACTTAAAAGATAGCGTTTCTTCAAACTGAAACCCATCAAAAAAGATGGTAAAACAAGTGAAGTGACGTCTTATTATGTCTGGCAACATATTGAGAGTTTCCACAGCTTGCCTGCATCATAGTTATATGTGTTAGTCTCCAATTTCCTTTTGCTCTGTTTACAAACATTAGCTTGTTGTTGACGAGACTACATAGGCTATAGGTCTTGTAGCAAGTACAAATTCATGGCAGTGTCACCATAATAACCACAGGCATTTTAAAATGAATTAATTTGATGTCTTTAGTTTTGCTTCTCATTTTCACTTTGAATTCTATATTTTAAAGTTAGACGTTTTGTAAAGTTGGAATTTCAAGTGCAAAAAGCCTTTTTTAATTCCCAGCCGTTTTTTTTTTTTTCATATTTTTTTTTTTTTTTTTTTTTTTTTTTTTTTTTTTTGTGGTGTAAAGCCACAATATATTTACCGCAAAACCAATACTAACCTGAAACTAAAACGTAACCATTATCAAAACTGCTGTTTATCGAAGACATTATTACTTTTAGTAGTGAAACTGCTTCTAAAACACAGAATGTGTCAATTGAAAATGTTAAAACTTAAACACAGCATTTATTGATTATCACACCGAACCGGATGCATAGAAATAGTTCAAACAGCAAGAGTAACAATATCACCCTTACTAAGAGTTTCTGAGATTCAGCAGAATATCATCATTTTGAGTTCACCGTTTTTCTCACAGGACAAATTCTTATTCAATAAGAGAAATTAAACAAATGCCAGTACTTAGGCAGTGCTAAAAACCCCCTTTAAAGAACGTGGTGCTATAGCAGAGAAATACATTACTATTTTTCATTGATTATAGTGGTTAGCCTGATGACTGAAGTTGTTCATGTAGCAATTAGTAAAAATAGCTGGTTTTCATCCTTATGCCTGGAAGTTGGAATGAAGCCACTTCTACATCCAAGTTCTGAGTGCAGATGTAAATGAAACACAGCATAAGGCACAAACACTTGTTACTGGTTCACTGTTGTCCAGGTACACTTGAAGTTCTAGAAACATTCTCTATGCACTTCTCTTTTATGAAGTTTCCAACAAAGTGAAGATCAATGTGCTTGCGCAATTGGTCTTTTTACATGTCACAATCTATTAGTTCTACTCCACGGTTTGTTTGTATTAGTGCTGCAAACAATTCAGCCCAAATTGTTTCTGGGTGCCACTAAAGACAGCTCAAGATCTCCCACAGTGTGAGAACCACATCACTCGGTCATCTGTTTATATGAATGGATGCAAAGAGTTTATACATTTAGGATATACAGGGCAGGACATATTTTCCACTCTAGGAAATAACAGTTTTTAACAAAATGGACACAGTCCTGCTGTTGATGGAACAGTACAGCTGCCTTTTACAATCAGGACAGGACTTTGGTCTTATTCTACTACATTTCACAAAGCCAGAGGAATATTTGGAGTTCTGGTTCGTATCTAATTCTTTCCTCTCTTCAACTCACCGTAGAGGTTTCACATTGGTTTTTAGATCTTGGTCCTGGAAGAAGGCTGATTTTGTATCTGGTGAGCTTTTGTTGCCATGTGCCTTCAGAAAGATTCAATATAAACTCATTGTTGTAGTCTATTGTTTTTAACAGTTAAAATGTTCTTGAATTTTTATAAGTTTGTGATGTCCTGCAGTCAAATAAAGTTCACAGGGCTTTGAAGAAGAAACAGGCCCACACATCAGAAATTCCCCCTTTACTTAACAGCAGGCATGAGGGGCTAACCCACATTATATGCATTCTTTAACACCGAGTCATCTTGAAATGTTTATTGTCGAAAAGCACAATCTTTGTCTTATCTCACCACAAATTAGATTGCATGTATAGCTTCCATATCACAAAAAGAGGAACCTTTTAGAAGTATGGTTTAGATTTCACCTTACAATTTACAGCAGCGATTCAGGTGATAGAGCAGGTGGCTGCAGCCTCAAAAGTGCATTTTATCTTGGAATTATGGTTAATGTGGAAAAATAAAAGGCACAGTAGTTCCATTCAAAACTATTTTTGTTGTGTTGTTTAAAAAAAAACACAAGGAAACAATTCGAATGTTTGTATATATTTCCTTTTGAAAGGATTAAGCCCAGCGCTTGCTTTATTGCAGTGCGAGAGCGGTTGAAGGAGAATAATGGGCACTCGTGATGCTGAATTGTTTCCATGCCTTTCATTCATTACTAAAAAGCTTCGAACTGCATTTTTGAAACACTTGGTTGCACCTCAGTTATTGGATGTCAGGCTGAACTCCTCATTTGCATAATGTCACAATCTGTTCTACTTAAAGCAAACCTCAATAAATAAATAAATAAAAATCTCCAGATCTTAAAAAAAAAAAAAAAAAAAGGAACCGAGGAGGAACAAAACGTGTAGAAGTGACACTGGACTGTAAGTCGCATGCATTTAGAAAGTGTCAGACATGAGGGGTTCCATGTTAATTATATTGTCCAGTGATGTTTCCGGTTGCTTTTCAACAAACGTGGAATCTTTCAACTTTGGCTCTAAATTAGGTTGGTCAGAAATGACTCGGCTCTGTTGGTGAAGTGCGCAGTGAAGGGGAGATGCATGCAGGATGAAGCGTTTCACCAAAAAAGTCTACATACAAAGTCATTTATATTCATCTCCTTGGCAAATAGGGTGTGGAGACATACTAACTGTACTGTTCACTAACCTCAACATGTATTCTTGCAGTTTTGAACCATTCAATTCCATTTGCCAAATGCAATTAAAATCACATGTGAATAAGTTTGTTCACATGAAGAGTCATTAATAAACACGCCACACTGCAGTCCTCCAACTTATCTTCTTCTTTGTGGTTTGCGCCGTTGGAAACATCTGGTTGTTCGTTATGTGACTCATGTGATGCTAGAATAGCGATTTCATTGCAGTTTTACTAAATAAACCAATTCTGATAAAGCCAAAGAAACCACCTCACTTTTTAGCAAAAAACTACAGTTTTTTTTTTGTTTGTTTGTTTTTTTTTCTGAATTGGAGTGTTTTCAATAAGCAAATTTCTTTTCAGAATGCCAAATTGAGAAATTACACTGTCAATGGAAACTCAGTTAGTGACTCGTGCATCAGCATGAGAAAAAGCTATTTATAGTCTGGAAAATGGAGATTGCTGCATGAAAAGTTTAACGGCTCATGCTTAAGATCAAATTTTGACAGATTGGGAAAATGTAATAAAAATGTTAATGATTTAACTTAGTTTAGTATTGATGTAACTCCATATTAATGCACCCATCAAGTGCACATGCCAGATTAGGAATAAATAAACAAAAAGACGGAGGCCGTTTTAGCCTCTCTATCCTGACCCACTGGGTCCTCATGTCCTTTGCCAAATGAGCTGCATATGAACCTTAACTGACAGTTAAGCTAATAGGTTCTGATGGAGGTCATATTGATGTTACTGCCTTATAGCTCTGGAGCAGTGTCCTTGTTCTGTTAATAACACACTGACCACTTAATACATTTTTAATTTTCAAATCAAAATTTACAATAATAAAATGTGATCATTACAGTTCCTATGTTAAACTTCAGTCATTTGAAACACATTTTTTTTCTTTAAAACGTCTCCTTCATGTCCCGTTGGGTTAAATACACTCTTGATTGCTTTTTGTGTCAAAACCTGGTCTTGTATTTTCAGTGTTGGCACCAGCTTTTTCCATAAGGATTCACTAAAATGAGAATTTTCTTCTTAATGGGATTATGGTAGCATTGTCCTTCAATGCTGCGTGCTTTAGTAATGTTGAACAGTATTTGTGGTAGTAAATCAATGGTAAGGTACGGACATAAGCCACATATTGTGTTTGATCGCATGTGTTGCTCTGTCATTCAGGTCAATTTGGAAGTTAGAAATCTGCACAGCTGTTAACAGCCAACAGTATTATCTTGTGGCGCTTTTCATTATAGTCATGCACCAATAACACCAGGTCTGCGTCGAATACATTTTTGCCACCCAGTGTGTGCTAGTTGAACATTTGGGTCATAAATTAAAAGAAAGTGACGGCTGTAAATAATAGGCGGCATTCATTAGGATGTTAAACACCATTGTGACATTTGCACAGATGGCAAACAGAACATTATTTTGACTGTATTTATTTCCCCATCTTGACAATGACTTTTAAATTTTGTAGTTACGCAGCATATGGAGTGTGTGCTTAGTTTACGGCATTGCCGTGTATGAACGTGTCCTACATTTTAGAAACTTTGCACACATAAGCCAGGTGATTTGAATACTTTCATATTGTCCCCGGCATGGGGTATTGGGGTCATTCAGTGGACTGGATAAAATAATTACATTCTCGCTCTGCTCATTGTTCTTTGTATTTCTGCACAGTTGCTTTGCTGAAACAAGCCACCTGACACAATCAGTGTTGTGTGTTTGTGCTTATGTTTGCATGTCGTTGGAGCAGAAAGGAGAGGTGAAGGCATGTTTTCACAGTGTCCGTCGTGGTTTTTTTTTGGGGGGGGGGGTTTCCAGCTATGGTTAAATGGCTCTGAGATGGCCTGAGATTGAACGTGGTTCTGGTTCCCATAGTCGTTAAACAAAACCTCATGACTGGAGTCACGTTTCAGAGCCCAGTGACAGAGCAGCTTTGACAGCTATTAATGTGATTCTTACCTCATCATTTCAAAGTCTAACAATACCCCTCTATTTGTTTAATGGGTTTCACCAATAGAGTGTTGGCGTGCTGTTGGACTTTATAGAGTTGGCTGTATAAGATTATATCGTATGTGTACTGACCAGTCTCTGTGCTTGTCTGATCAATAAATCATGGTGTGAAATATTTTATGAACTCCAGTGTAAATGGATCGAAGTAGACAGCAGAAA